AATGGGATTATGCCAATTTCAGTGAAAACGGAAAGGACTAGAAAATATTATATTAAAGAGGTATCCCAGGCTCAGAAAGACAAACACCACACATTTTCTCATATGTGTCTCTTAGTTTCTAATATTTCATACATGTGTATTTTCATGGGCTTGAAGGAAGGCAGATACCATGACACTAGAAACATGCCCATGTCAGGATAATAAATCCTCTAAGCTTTCTATGCTGTACTTAAAACACTCAAAGTTCTGATTGGTTGGATCAGCATCTGCCATTTGTGAGAAATTTTAAATTTCTAATTATGTTCAAGGATTGCTATTCAGCTTTACTTCCTGATGTAGCTCCTCTTCTGGGTGCTGATGCTACTGCAGATTGTGGCATCCTGGTTTTGCATCTTTTTTAACATTGAAAAAAACACAGATATGAGATTGACACAAGTTTTCGTCATGCTGAGGGAACTCAATGACATACTCAACCCATCAAAAATCTCCAGGACATAACAGTGCAATAGTGGCACTCACATGTCAGTGGCAACCAACAGCTGTCTAATTGGACTATGGCCCATCCAACAGGAGGCAAATCCTACCTGGTACTGGAAATGTAGCCAGTTTCTCAGAGCTAGTGAGGTTATGGATCTTACAGGAGAACTTATTTTTACCACTTTGCTAGACCAGCATAATTCCTTACTACATTTCAAATCTTATCCTTATACTTACAGATAAGTGTAGCTACCATCCCTCATCAAAGAAACTTTTCTTTACAGCAAATGGAGACAATCACAGAAAACCACAGCTGGACAGAATTCAGTGATCAATAAATTGTTGGGCTGGGAAACCCAGCCTCAGCAGATTCATCTCTATTCTGGTCCCTGCATCTATAGCCCAGTGAACAATAAGGAAGAGGGGTAGAAAAATTGTACACGACACAGTATCAGGAAGTCTGCTAGGAAACTGTCCATCCTAGAAAAGGCCACACAAACAAGTGAAATAAGGGCAGTGTTAATAAACATGCTAACATAGAAGAGGGAAAAATTTTACAGGGTCCCACTCCTAGACAAAGAACTAGGCCACTAATTACTGCTGGGAGAAAAAGAATTAGCCTCTCCCAGGGATGAGCCCTTATTGAAGAATGGACAACCTTAATAAACCATATACACCACCAAAAAAGGGGCTCTGCATGTTGTATTTATATTTATTCAAGCACACACAAATGCACTACATTCATGTATGTTATAATAATAATCAGTGGGAAAAGGCTATCAGCTTGAGAGTCAGAAGGACGTGAGAGGTGCTGGAGAGAGTGTAGCTAGGAAGAGTTGGAGTGAGGAAAGGGAGGCAGAGTAATGTAATTCTATTTCAGTTGAAAGTATATTTAAGAATCTTTAGGGGCTCCAGAGATGGCTAAGTGGGGAAAGCACTTGCTATGTGAGAAGCTGAGGCCAGCCATGTGTCAGGGGTGTCCCTGCACGGAGGCCTACAGAGGCCATTGTGTGAAGCTGTGAAGGTGAAGCCTGGATTGCCTCGGAGACCCCCAAATATTAGAGATGCCAGAGTTGTAGGTTACCTTCCAAGAAGAGCTGCAAACAGGGAGTGGAACCAGCCCAAGAGAGAGAAGTGTGTTGCAATCAAAAATGGTGAAAGGAGTTGGTGGTCTAAAGAGTGCTTTGACATCAGACATGGAGAGGTAGATTTTCAAGTCTGCTCAGCTGCTTTTTGGTGTTGCTTTGGGCCAGTATATCTTTGCTATGCTCCCCTTCCTCCCTTTTGGAACAGTAATATATATACTGTTCCATTATATGATCTGTTTTTTGATTTTGATTTTATAGGGGATTACAGTTAAGAGATTGGCATAAGTCTCAGAAGAGACTTTGGACTTTGAACTTTCACAGGGTGGAAACTGTTATAGAGTATGGGGACTTTTGATGCTGGATTAAGTGCATTTTGCATTATGATATAGCTATGAGCATATGGGGGCAAGGGAGTGGAATGTGGTAGTTTGAATAAAAATGGCCCCCATAGGCCCAGAAGGAGTGGCACTATTAGGAGGTGTGGCCTTGTTGAAGGACGTGTCTCAGTCTCTTCCTGCTGTCTACTAATCTGGATGTAGAACTCTCAGCAACTTGTCCACCACCATGTCTGCCTGCACTCTGTCATGCTTCCCACCACGACAATAATGGACTAAACCTCTGAAACTGTAAACTAGCCTCAATTAAATGTTTTCCTTTATAAGCGCTGCTGTGGTCATGGTGTCTCTTCATGGAAATAAACTAAGACAGAAGCCGAGTTTAACTTCCTAGAACCCATGTCAAGTCAGGCAGAGTAGCATGTATCTGCAATACCAGTGCTCTTGTGATGAGAGAGGAAGCAGAAGTCCTCTGGCAAGCTAGTAGCAAACATCAGAAGACCCTGTCTCAACTAGGAAGGAGAGGATCATCATTGGAGGGTGTCCTTTGACCTCCAGCATACACACACACACACACACACACACACACACACACACACACACACCTTTCCACTAAGTTGAAGGAGGAAAATCTGATACCATTTATAGTAATTTAAAACATAGTCACACCACCAGGCTGAGTTCATAAGTGATTATTTTGAATAAACTCCTGGCCAAAAAATGTACACACATCCATATGTCTCATGTTTGTGAGAGAGCCTTGCTAAATAAGCCAGACTAACTCCATGACAGGCTTCATTTTCTTGCTAGACAGAACAGGCCTGAAGTTACAGGAAAAACCACAGAAAAAGGGTAACCAATCATTAACAGCCAAGACATCTGGCCTAGGGATGCTTAGTTAAGCATCCCTAACCTAGTTAAGGTTGCTTAACTGCTGGTTTGGAAAGACCCCAGCTCTTGACTTGGCCCTACCAATCCCAGTCAGAGTCACATAGCCTTCATGGGCACCAGGCAATCCCAATCGAGGTCACGTAGCCACAGTAAGAATTCCCATTTCTGGCTTTAAAAGGAGCCTTCAAGCTCCCCTTGGGGTAGCCGCCATTTTGAAAGTGGTGACCTCAGCATGCTGGAATTTTCTGCAGACTCAACACTTTTTGCTTTTACATACTACTTGAATCTGGCTCCTTCCTTCAGTGAATCCTGGACCCTAACATCTGTTCTTTGGTTCACTTTTTTTTTCTTATAGACTTGGGAGCTAGCCTTCCTGTGTTTCAGCCATGGGTTCCTCACCAGCCTATGGCTTGGTGTAGCTCCCTGAAACTGTGCTTCAGTTTCTGCATTTACAGATTTTAGGAGTATTGATAGCCCCCCCCCCCCCCCCCCCCCCACCGTGAGTTTGGCTGGCAAGGAAATGGCTTTCTGAATATATAGCTCTTAGAACAGTGGCCACTACAATGCTTGGTGGAGTTTTCTGGTTCACTCTGTGTGTGCGTGTGTGTGTCTGAGTGTATGTGTGTGCGAAAGTGTATGTGTGAGTATGTCTGTGTTGAGTATATATGCGTGAGTGGGTTTGTGTATGACTGTGTACGTGTGCATGTATATTTATGTGTGTGTGAATGTGTGTGCATGTGTATATGTTTGTGTTAAGTATGTGTGAGTGTTTGTATGTGAATGTGGGTGTGAGCGTATCTGTGTCTGAGTATGTATGTGTGCATGTGTTGACTGTGTCTGTGTGTATATGTGGCCTTCTGTAGGTATAGGTTCCAACTGTGGAAAGATTTGTGTGTGTAGTGAAAAATGTGTCTTTCGGAAACACACAGACCTTTTCTGTCATTATTTCCCTAACAACACAGTACTAGGGCTACTTATACGGTATTGAATAGGTGAAGTGGGTAATCTGGAGATGATTGAGATAGTCTTTTATACATGTGTGGGAAATGAGAAAATCCTCTCCACTTTGTATGAGAAGCTTGAACATCTGAGGGAGTTGGTATCCCCAAGGAGTTCTAGCACCAGATACCAAGACAACTGTGCAGGGAACAAAATGTTGAGTGTGACACTTCCCAAGGCCTGTCATCGGTTGTGTTTTATGAGTGGGGATGGTGATGGTGGCACGTGCTGAGAGGCCATGCTTTAGAGGAGAGAGGAGGCTGGGATGGGGTCTCTGAGTGGAACGCAGTGCAAAGTCACTGCTTCCCATCTACCGACTCTCCCATAATTTTCATCTGTTTTTCTTGCCAACAAACATCTTTCCTCTGTATCCATGGGTATGGGAAGGGGACTCCAACGACTTCTGCATTTTTGTTTAAAAAGGACAATTGGGTAATTTTGACAGGACCCTTGCTGCTTCACAGTCTAGTTTCTTGGAATTTGGAGAGACGGTCAAGTTCATGTTTCTGGAGCATGGGGTTGAATTGTACCGACTATGGCCAATGAAAACAGATGGGAATGGAGCAGCTGGAAGGGATCAACACAGAACCCAGTGTTGAAAAGACCCAAGTTCTCACAAACACTTAAGCATCTTTGGGCCTGGGAAGGGAGAGCAAGGGGAAAGGAGAGGTGGAGACAGGCGGTTGGGCTTGCCTGTGCACCTGGGGCCATGCCTAGCACAGCGTCAAAACTTAGTGAACTAGGAAGAAGGAAGCTCGTACAATGGCGTCTCTGCTTCTCCCTTTGGAGTGTAGCTACCTGACATCCCCATCAGTCAGCCACCCTCTGGGAGCAGCAGTGACTTCCAGCAAGCCTTGTTCTAGTTTCTTTTTCTGAGTTGTTACTATATGGGCAAGGCCTTACTGCTGCACAGATCATCAGAGCAAACCTGGGAACACACTGACTCCTCAGGGTCTTTAGCAACCTTCTGCTGCCAATCTTTGGAGCAAGATGCTGCTATATATAGGATAAAAGCCTCCATTAAAACCATATTCTATACATCTTTTATTTTGGTGCTCACAACATCCACATCAGGAAGGCCCCCCCCCCCACAACTTTTATGCAACAGGTGCTGATGAGTGACATGTGGGTTGCCCATAGGTGAGTAGGGGAGCCGGGGCTCTGTCCACTGGGACCCTGGTGTCAAGCGCAAGCAGTCAGTAAAGCTTACCTCCTTTTCTTCTTCCACAGAATGAGAACTTGGGCTGGTCCTCCTCACAGAGGGGGTAGGAGAAATTCAGAATAGAAGAGCCTTTTGCGACGAGAGCTATGTCCAGAAACAGCTTTCTGATGTCCTCTCCTAAAGAGAAGAGCAACTTCAGCACTGTGTGTTTTCCAGCAGGGAGGCCGCTCAAAGCTCAACAGCACCAAGTAAAAGACCTTCACAGCCTTCAGCCTGCTGTACGTGGGGTATGGGGCATTTCTCTTCTTGACAGAGCAGCGATTCTAGCTTAAGCTTTACCTGTTTGGGGTAAGGCAGATCATTGGCTACCCTTCCCTCTTGATGCTCAGTGCTCTGCCTAATTAGTGGAATGCGTACAAGTGTGGCTTTTAGAGTTCCTTAGTTTCATAGTGTTATTTATCCCCCATGACAGTAGCAGGGCATGACCGGGTCTGCATATTCCTGTTACTGTTGCCTGGTAGATACTACACGTCTCTCCAGGAAATTCCAGCAAGCTCTGCTGGCAGCATCCATTTCTTTCTGCCCCTTTCCCATTCCTGTTTTTCTTTCACCCATTTCTCTTTCCCTCTTGGTTTCCCTGCCCATAGTATTTCTCCAGATGCCGTGAGTCCAGAGAGCATACAGAGTTCTAGAAAGACACAGTCACCTGAGAGTTTCTGGCCTTTGAGAATATTTCTTCCATTTCTCTGGAATGATTCTAGATGCTCAGTTTACTGAATGATTCTGCTCTGTTTTGAGAAAACTGGTCATCTAGAAAAGGGGACACTCTAGTAGCTATGACACAAATACTGGTTTACTGTAATGGCATGGCCAGCCAAGAGACTGCCAGGACTTGTATGGTCTCACAACCTGGGGTGCAAAGAAATATTTGGCTCTTTTTACTTTTTATTTTTGCCAATTTGTAAGAACTTCCATTAGCTGTTTGGGAGGCAAACTAATATGAGTAACAGCCTAGGCTGTATGGTGGGTAGAGCAGGCTTGTTTGTGGCAGAGGTCATAAGCGAGCCTCTTGTCTGTGTAACATCAAGACAATCATTTCTTTTTTACTGTCTCGTGACCAGGGGCTGACAGTTTTGAAATGCACACCTGGGGTCTCTTTAATGCAAAAGCACAGCACTCCACAGCCACCAGGGAGTAACTAGCGTGGCTGTGAGAGATGAAGGCTGGAATCATGGTGCAGCCCGCTCTGCCAGTCACCCTGAGTCCTTGTGTGTGCAGAGGAGGAGGCTCTGCTATGCTTCATGTCACGAAAATCACATCTACTTACTCAGAATGATGCCAAATCTTATGTTGATATATGGTTGGATCTGTTTGGAACACTGGTCAATGGAAAGGCCAAAGTCCTGTAAGGGATCTGCCAAAGAGGACACGGAGCGATTAGTCAAGAGTACACCGCAGACTCACGGGCAAATTCGCACTAATGACTTTTGCAGGACTTGCTAAAGCGCCCAACACTTAAAAAACGCCTATAACATTTCACCAGCTCCTCACAGTCAGTCACCGTTGGGTTCACTCTGACAACAGGGCCTCAGTGACAGATGCCAAGTGCAGTATGTACATTATTTTCATTGTTGCTTAAGTTCTTTTAGCCCCTGACCTTAATCTTGCTGACAGGAGCAGATGAACATACTCAGTTAAAACACACCTTTACAATTCTGCTTTATCTGATATCATCCCGTTTCATTCAACACCCCCGACCCCCAACCAATAGTCTGCTTTGTGCAAGGCATTATGCCAAACAGTCAGGGCTAAAGATAATGCATTTCACATGTAATTTTTGCGTATTCAAATAGCACCTTACGAAGCAGAATAAAGAGTATAAAGAAGCCTACATGTATGTATGTGTACCACGTGGGTACCTGTGGAGGCAAGAAAAGAGAGTTGGATCTTCTACAACTGGAGTTTACAGACAGCTGTGACCTGCCATGTGGGTGCTGGGAACCAAAGTGAGTTCTGTGCAAATCCTTTTACCTGATAAATTATGTTTCCATTCCCCTCCCATCACAGATACTTTAGATCATTTCTAGGAGACTTCCAATAGTTCTAACTGTGACACAGTCATGTGATACAAGGTGAACACAGTGAATCATTGTTAAAATGACTTATTCAAGAAACACAGGAAGAAGGCTGCACATGCTCAGTATGTAGACTCATACTCAGATACTTTAGATCTGTTTTTGGCTGAATCTGAGGATGTGGCACCTGTGGACATGGAAACCCAACTGTATTACTTCCTAATTTGCGCTGCACCTTAACCTCATAGCACCTAACGTAAACTTAGACATAAGGCAGGAACTTTGTGTTGTTTATTTTTCATTTCCTTTTCTATTCTGCTTCCCACCTGCCTTTCTCATTCTGCTTGATTTTAGATCAAGAACATAAGCTTGTACGGATATATGGAAGAGGGTCCTGAAATGGGTTCCTCATGGATACCGAAGGATGACTAGACATATTTACACAGTTTGAAGAGTACGTCAGACACGACTGGGCCTATGGGAGGAGGGCCATCTTGAGCGGAGAACCTTATAAGAATTTTCAGCCCACGTCTTCAGACTACCCGTTCCTCAGCCCATCCGACACGCGCGTGATGAATATGAGTATGGGCCATCTGTTAAGCTATCTACATCTCAGCTCCAACTCCAGCCTTGGTACTTAGCTTTGTGAGGCTGCCTATCGGAAGTCATTCCCCTGCTGTCTGCAGTCGGGGGCCAGAGGGAAACGGAAGCTGGAGCCAGGGGCTTGGCTTGCTTCTCATCACTTCCCAGTGGTGCTTGGTTCTGATACATGCTGTCCTTGTGCCTTCCTGGAACTAGCCAGGCTCAGCTCTGTGGGCTCTCAGACCTCTGCAATATAGCACCTCAGAAGTGGTTACTCTTCTCCTGTCCCAGACCACAAAATCTGCCTTCCAAGCGTCCAGGTTTTCATCCCTCAGACTTTTGCCCTCAGCTGCCCCAGCCCTTAAAGAGGCAGCTCTTATTCACTGTCATTTTACTCTTTTAGTTTGTCTTAATTTTCCATTTGGTCAATTAACATATTACCTATTAAATTATTTATATGGAAGTTAATTGATTAGTTATTACTTCCTCTGTTAGCAGCATTTTCCAACCTGTGGGTTGTGACCATCACAAAACACATATTTCCAATGGCCTTCGAAACTGAGATACTGCTCAGTAGCAAAATTACAGTTATGAGGTAGCAGGGAAAATAAATTTATGCTTGGGAGTTCTTAAGACCATCAGAAATGCATGTTTTCCGCTGGTCAAAGCCCACGGGTTGAGAACCGCTGCTCAGATTGGAGCATATAGACTCAGAAAGGTTGTATTAATTTCCCTAGATCCCAGCACGGAAAGTGCCCAAGGCAAGATGTAAACTCAGCATTAACAAAAGCACAAACAAAACCACATTGCTGCTTAGTAAGTATTATGCATTGTAATGAATAACTAAATCCTAAAATATGCACGTTAATTTCATTTTCAAGACTGCCTGGGATACTGTGTGTGCAGGTATATGGCACTGAGCAGTTCTGTCTTATTCCTGCTTTCCGCTGTGAGTTTCTAGGCGATGATGCAGACAGTGTCATTGCCATCCAAATACTGACTTGAAAGATGCACCATTTTGCCTCTGAGGCCTGTGATAGAAGTGACAACTTCAGCCTGGCAAATCTAACTTTTGCTGTCCCTCTGATTGGTTTGCTCCCTAATTTTCTCAGGGAAAATGTCCCTCCTCTTCTTTTTTTTATGCACATTTGGCTTCCTCCTAAATGTTTTCATGCTGTCTCAGGATTTTTTTTTTTTTCAGATTGGTAAACAGTGGTGGGGATGAAGGAGGCAATTACACGATTAGCACTCAGTATTGAAGAAAACAGAGGCACCTAACAACAGAATAGGATAATGCACCCTCAAAATTGTGCATCAATTTAAGTTGCCATCCGAGGCAAAATGAGAAAGGTATGTATTGCTCAGTTAGCTGTTACAGAATTCCAGGGTGTGTTTATCAATATTTTAAAGCCATACACGGGATAAACTAAAAGGAGAAAGAAATAAAGCCTTTTCCTGGTATTAGAAAAATAATTTTAATAAGAAACAAAGTCACAAAGGAATCAGTATATTGTTTGTCTTCACTCTCCAAGGAAATGTATACGGAAACAGGAAGATTATTTTTAATGTACTTAGGGATTTTCTGAGCTTCCCTGGCAATTTGCTCAAGTTTTTATGCAAGAGTGAAGTCTTTGACTGTAACTATGAAGTCTACAGGAAAACTATGTAGTCTCTAGGAAAAAAGTGGGATCATTTCCTTCAATCCCACCCTCATACTAATACCCCATACTTTCTTACGTTTCCATCTGGGCACTTAGCATGCCATACCTCTACTGGACATGAGTTCCCAGAGCCAGAGATGTCATGTCTTAATATTATATTAGCTCCTCAGTAACTGTTGGAGGAAAAATACTGGGGGGTGGGATATTTGGAATAATGTCATTGAGCACCTTAAAGCGAAACTAGCCCAACCTCATGATTATTGCCACTTAGTCTCATGTAATCTTCTGTGCACCACAGGTTGGCAATCATATCTTCAGTTGCTATCCATGTGAGAAAAGCATCTCTGTACAATCCATGATGTCATAGTACTGCTGGAGGCCACCCACCCCTGGGTACTGACTTAGCCCTAGTGGAGGGTCATCGACTTAAGGGATTACTTTCTTTTAGACAGGGACCTTTGCAGGGACAATTAAGAGAGTGGGAATAGGGGATTGTAGATGAATCAGAAGTAGTGAGGTGGAGTCATGGGGCAGAAAGACTTGTATGGGGAAGATGTGGGAGCACGGCGAAAAAGAGGGGTGAAAGGTAGGATTAACCCAAAGGAAGGGGGCACGAAGAGCCATGTGCACCCTCCTCTACTATCTCACAGCCCAAATTAAAGAAATAAGTGGAGAGAGAGTAGAACACACACTAAAAGAGAAAAAGGGGAAATACTGAGGGTTAAAGCATTAAGCAGGGATGGGGGTGGTGGTGAGAGAGAGGAGGGATAGTGGACAGGTTAACCAAAAGACTAAAGATGTGTGGAAAAGCCTCATAGAAACCACTACTAAAATAACTTCAAAATACAAGCCTTCAATGAAAGTTCCTGCAGAACTACCCAGCCTTGGTGGACAATGTTCCTCCAGAAAGAGTAAATTTCAGTATGTGGTAAGGAAAACTTCCTTAGGAATGATTGATCAGGGAAGCCCCAGAGGCCTCCCAAACAGCACAGACTATATCGCCATTTTCCTAATTGTCCATTATAATTGCATATAGGACACTATTGCTAATGATATCACACATTCTGGCTGCAAGACAGAGAAATCAGTGCCAAACTGACCAGGGAACATTCTTCCTGCTGGCTAGCTTTCATAGTCCTGAGAGGTGCTATAAAGGCTGATAGGGAGAAAAGACAATTAGTATCTTACCTGGACTGTAGACTGTAATACTGACCTGCCAGGTAGGTTGTGTTTACTGGTGTATAGTCACATGACTGTTATGAGGTAACTATCTACTTTCTGATTGGATATGAAGGGTGCTCTACAGGGGAGCATGCTTGGTCCTGGCTTCCTTGTCAAAAGCCATTTGACAAGGAAGTGGATGGGGAGCTCATGGGCCTTGATCTAGAGCCAGTTCTTAGCATTTTACTAAATATTAATGCTGTCAAAATTGTCTTCTAAATAGTTATGCTTACCCCCATGGACCTGAGCTACTCTCAACCCAGAGAGCTCCATTTTGAGGTGAACAGAAGGCAATGAACAGATGCATAACTGGTCGAAGTGCTGAGAATAAGAATGCTCAGCTCTGAATGGGACATCTGTATTAACCCCACCAGCACAAGGCTCAGGGAACATCAGGAGGAAGCGTAAAGAATGTCAGGATTCCGAGTGTGAGGAGGAATGTTGTGACCTGCTGTCTTCTAGACATGACATGGCTGCTGCATTTATGAACTCACAGCAGCCGTAGTTACCACCACAAGGTCTATACAAGATCAGGCTTACTCAAATCGAGGCAGAGATGGCGAGATGCTCTCTAGGCTCCACCCAAATAAAGGAACTGCTACCACAGGTAGTTGTTGAAGGAGGGAGAATCATTCTTTATTGAGTTTTGGTGACTGCACTGGTAGGTTTCCCATGCTCCCATGGATGGCGCACATACATGCATATGTGAGCAGTGCACACATTAAGGTGCAAATTGGGAGGATATGGGGAAAGTTGGAGGATGTAAATGTAATCATATTTCATTATATATATATATATATATATTTCAAAGTTAAATAAAAAATTAAAAAAGAATTACTTTCTCTATCACCATAGACCCAACTGATACAAACACA